GGAGGTGGTGGGGGTGGGGGTGGAGGCGGAAGACGAAGTGGGAAGGCCGAAGAGAATCCCATGGGGACGGTCGAGGGGTACTGAGGCAGATCGTAGGTCTGGCAGTCCGAGTACATCTGCCCCGTGACCGGAACGTAGCTGGCCTGCCCCGCCGCCAGAGCTGCTGCTCGCATCAGACGCTCCACAGCTCGAGTCTCGTGCTCCTCTTCGCCTCTTCGTTCGACTCCCTCGCCTGTCTCGTAGGTGGCGTAAGCCGGTCGAGTGCCGCCGCCGGGGTTCGGACCGACGGCTGTCAGTGCGGCTGCTGCCGCCAGAAAAAGGCCACTTGTGGTGACTGTCACGTTGGCCGGACTCGCGGCTGACGCCGACGCTGACGCCGACGCGGAGGCTGACGTCGACGCCGAGCCGGTGTCGGGGAGGGCGCCTGTTGGTGCATCATTGACTGGAAGGGTGAGAGAGGCCAAAAGAGGGGCGGATATGGGCGGCGGTTGTTGGGCGTAGGACGTTGCCAGTGGTACTGCCGTCAGGCCGGACGATAGAGAGGCTGAGGCCGGCGTGTAGCCGCCGTTGGCCAAGGCGACAGACTTGACCGGAGGTGAATTGACGGAGACGCCAGGGGAGGAAGGCATTAATGTCCCGCTGGTTGGTTTGACGGGAGAGTCTGGATGGTCGCTGCCGAGAAGGCGAGAACGACGTTGCTTCTTGGTCTGTCGCTGGCCGTTCTGGAGCAGACAGAAGCCGAGAACAAAAAGTGACAGAGTAACTGCAAAGGTTCCCACGACTGTGCCGATCATCTCAGGGATGGTGAATTGCTTCTGTAAAAAGGAATGTGGGACAGCGGAAAAATGGATAAACTATCAGCATCACCTTTCGCAGACATGGAAGAAAGCTGGAGTTCAAAGCATTCCGCAAAAAAAACTATATTCACTTTATGTCACATAAAGTGATAAAGTACTGCCAATTAGATTTTCCTACAATCAGATGACCAGGTCATGGAATTTAACCTAGCCTTGCCTT